GCCGCGGGGCTGCCCGCGCGAGTCGCCGCCGGCGCCGCGCAGCGCGCGCTCGCCGCCGCGACGCGGCCCGTCGCCGCCGGGCTCCCACTCGCGGGCGAGCTCGAGGCCTTCGCGCCGCGCGGCGCGCGCCGCGGCGACGCCGCGGCCTACGCGGGCGTCCTCGGGCCACCCGCGGAGCTGGCGACGCGCGCCGGGCTGCCGCCGCTCGACCAGCTCGCGTGGTGGCGCTTCCTCCTCCGCCACCGCGGCGCCGTGCTCCTGCCCTTCGTCGACGCCGAGCGCAACGCCGTCACGTTCATCAACGACGCGCGGGGGCCGGCGCGGTCCGGGCCGCCGCCGGCCGGCGCGGCGGCGGCGAACGTCGAGTTCGCCGAGGTGGGCGGCGTCGTGGCCGTCCGCGCGCTCGAGGACATCGCGCCCGGCGCGGCGCTGCTCATCGACTACGGCGACGCGTACTGGCACTTCGCGCCCAAGCTCGCGACCTCCGGGCCCGCCTCCTCGACTTCGTCGACGTCCTCGCCGCCGCGCGGGCCTGGCCGCGCGCCGGCGCCGCGCGCGCGCGCGCCGCGCCGCGCGCGCCCCGCGGCCCGTCGCCGCGACCCGCGCGCCCGCGCAGGCCCCGCGCGGCGCGGCGGGCCCTCGCCCGGCCGCCGCTCGCGCCCGCGCTCGTCGACGCGCTCCGCGGGGAGTTCGGCGACCCCGCGCGCGCGCGGACGCGGCGCGCGGACGCGGCCGCGCCGCGCCTGCTGGACCCGGCCGTGCCGAAGGGCGGCGCGAGAGCCTGGCGCCCCGCGGAACCGCCGCGGGCGTGACCGACCCGTCCGGAATCCCGGGCCGCCGACGAACAAGCGAAGGTGGAGGGGGGAAAGCGCGCGGAGGCGGCGGCGGGCGCCAGCCGAGGTCCGGTCGAGTGATTCGGGCCGCACACGACCGCTAAAATTGCACTAGTCGCCGCCGCAGCGCGCGAAGCGGCGCTCGAACGCGCGCATGGGGGCGAAGACGAACGAGAGCTTCTCGTCCTTGTACGCGCGGCCGGAGCCCGGGCCGAACCGCCGGAACGCCCGGCCTGGCAAGGTCGTCGGCCTGGTCTTCGGGGGCTTCAACGAGTTTTCCGAGGACGTTCACGGCCTGCTCGCGTTCGCCGCCAAGTCGCTCGCCGAGAAGGTGAGCGCCGAGGACGGCTTCATCAGCGTCGAGCACGCGGAGGCCATCTGCCTCCAGCGCTTCGTCCGGCGCCTGGGCGTCGTCTGCGCCCGCGAGAACGCGCGCCTCCGGCTCCGCGGCCTCACCTTCCTCGACACGCACGGCAAGGTCCGCCCCTACATCAAACCCTACTGCGAGCGGCACTGGCGCCTGCGCCAGGACGCCGCCGTCCACTGGCGCCTCCGGCGCCTGTGAGACCCCTCTGAGCCTCCCGTCCCCCGCCCGCGGGCGCGGCCTCCCGGGCCCAATACAATAGTAGTTCGTTTTAGAGACAGGCCAGGAGCCACCCACGGACAAAAGATTCGAACCTCACGCCGAGGTGGGTGGGTGGGTCCGGAGGCCTGGTTTGGAAAATCTACAGTGTACTGATGGGTACTTGTAACGCGCGCGCGCGCGCGCGGTCATGACCCGCGGTGCCGCGGCTGACGGTCGCGCGGCGCCTCGGCGACGTGTCTTCACGCCGCTATCGTCGTCTCTGGGCAAGCGCCGCTTCTCGCCGCGGCGAGTCGAGCGGCGCGGGTGCCCGTTCTCATCGCAAAGCGGAGATTGGACCGCGCAGCTCCGCGACACGAGAGAGCGCGCGCGCGGAATCGCGCGCGCGTTGCGGCGATTTTGCGAGCGGCAACTTGAAGGCAACTAACGAAAAGGAGGTCCCTGATTGGCCAGGAGGTGGGTGGGTGGGTGCCGGGCGCGCGATCGAAGAACCCGGCGTAGGATACAGCTGTACCCCAACTTTTATCCCGGGCCGCTCCTGGACAGGCAATCAATTTTGCGCAAAAGGTGCATATGGACCCAAAAAACCAGGGGGAGGAGAGCAGGGCTGGGCGCCTTCGCGGGACGACGCGCGCGCGGGGGGACGGGCCTCGATCGTGGC